GGGGGAATAGTGCCCCATCATTGGTGTGCGATGATGTCTATTATATGGACTTTCCCAACTGATACAACCATGGGTCTGCTAAAAAAAATTGCCTTCAAAAGTCTTGGATCCAGCATTTTTTTATCCGTGTTGTTTTTGAACATTCTTTATTATATTGATGTAAATTGTTATGTCCCAGTTAAAGTTGATCTAGTCTACTGGGGAAGTTTAAGATGCAATGCTATTGGGAGTGATATGCTGGTGTATGGTGTTGACCCTAGTCAAACGAAGATACCCACAGGGAGACAAACAGCCCAGCTGATCATTAAAACGATTTCCTATTAAATCCCTTTGCCCATCATTCTGAACATTATTTTTCTTCACAGCTATTTTTTCTGAGCCAACATTGAGTTTAAATCAACCACATTTAACAGAAGGCGACAACGTGAATCTGAGATGTAACACAACTCTGGCTCCACCCAATAAGAACACAGAGCTGTGGTTCGCCTTTTACAAAGATGGACGGACTGTGAGGGAATTCGGTGTATCCGATACATACAGAATGCCATCGGCTCGGATGGAGGATTCTGGGAATTATGCGTGTGAAGTAAAAACTGCAAATGGAGCTGTGAAAAAGAGGAGCAAGAATTCATTAATCCGGATTAAGGGTTAGTATGTAGTATTGGAGCCAGCCTTGAAAGATTGTGTGTTGTCTTCATCTGGTCTTACATGTAACAATAGAATAGTTCCTTCATACAATTCTTTTAATGAGTTGATAAATAATTGTCGTCACCGACAAGGATGGGTCAATACCAGGGCTTTTTTTCTCAGAGAATAGATGCAGGAACTTCCCTCATCTAAGTCTCTACCCCCTACCCACCTCCGAGCACAGTTCCTTGGTTCCACCCCTACCCACCTCCGAGCACAGTTCCTTGGTTCCACCCCTACCCACCTCCGAGCACAGTTCCTTGGTTCCACCCCTACCCACCTCCGAGCACAGTTCCTTGGTTCCACCCCTACCCACCTCCGAGCACAGTTCCTTGGTTCCACCCCTACCTGCCTCCAAGCACAGTTCCTTGGTTCCACCCCTACCCGCCTCCAAGCACAGTTCCTTGGTTCCACCCCCTACCCACCTCTGAGCAAAGTTCCTTGATTCCACCCCCTACCCCGCCTCCATGTTTTGAGAATACAGAACCAAATAATTTTTCTGGTGCTAAGTAATGTGTATGGAATTTGTTAACGATAACAAAAAAAGTAGTAAAATAAATCTCCTGCAGCCAACAGCAATAGATTGCTCTTGGTGATGGAAGGCTTGGATGCAGCTGCTCGGCCATGGAAACCCATTCCGTGAAGCTCTCTATGCACTGTTGTGCTCACCTGAAGGCCACACCAAGTTTGGAGGTCTTTAGCTATTGACTCTGCAGACAGTTGACGACTTCTGCGCACTGTGCGCTTTAGCTTGGTGATGGAAGGTTTGGATGCAGCTACTCGGCCATGGACACCCATTCCATGATGCCCTCTACGCACTGTTGTTGGGCTCATCTGAAGGCCACACCAAGTTTGGAGGTCTTTAGCTGTTGACTCTGCAGACAGTTGGCGACTTCTGCGCACTGTGCGCTTCAGCTTGGTGATGGAAGGTTTGGATGCAGCTACTCGGCCATGGAAACCCATTCCATGAAGCTCTCTATGCACCGTTGTTGGGCTCATCTGAAGGCCACACCAAGTTTGGAGGTCTTTAGCTGTTGACTCTGCAGACAGTTGGCGACTTCTGCGCACTGTGCGCTTCAGCTTGGTGATGTAAGGCTTGGATGCAGCTACTTGGCCATGGACACCCATTCGATGAAGCTCTCTACTACGCACTGTTGTTGTTGTGCTCATCTGAAGGCCACACCAAGTTTGGAGGTCTTTAGCTATTGACTCTGTAGACAGTTGACAACTTCTGCGTACTGTGCGCTTCAGCTTGGTGATGTAAGACTTGGATGCAGCTACACGACCATGGAAACCCATTCCATGAAGCTCTCTACGCACTGTTGTTGGGCTCAACTGAAGGCCACACCAAGTTTGGAGGTCTTTAGCTATTGACTCTGCAGACAGTTGGCGACTTCTGCGCGCTGTACTCTGGAGTCATTTTGTAGTAAAAAACTCACAAACGCTGATATATGTTATAATTGATGTGTCTTCTCTTCGCAGCTGCCTTTGGCCAAACACAAATCAATCTGAGTGCCAGCGAAGTAGTAGTCGGGGATAATATCATCCTCTCGTGTGAGTCCACAATGAGCTCCCTTCCAATATGTTACACTTTCTATCACAATGACACATCCTTCGGTAATCTCACCGTCCACCAGAAGGAGGCAGCAGTCATACGATTAACCGTCAAATCTCCAGCCGCGGCGGGATTATATTTCTGTATTTCTGACAACGGCATCGCGAAACAAAGACAACTCAGCAACATGGTCGTCCTGCTTGTAGTCGGTAGGTACTTCATTTTTCAGTTTATTATTGGACTCAAAGTATGTGTAAGGACAAACCTTTTTTAAAATTTTTTGTTTGAAACTCTCTGTGACCCCGCTAGGGAGATTACTGATCTATCTGTCCCGGTGTCCAGGAATCATCCGTATACATCCATTACTTAGTGGCCCGGCAATTTATTTGTCATGAAAAAATGTCTTACTGTTTTTATGCCTCCTTGTAAAGTTCTTCATGAGCTCCCAAACCTCTTCTTTTCCCCATCATATCACTGGAGTTTGGACGAGCAGTGCAGTTAGTTGCGGTCATGTGTACTGCTCTATGCACACTACAAATTCCATAGTCCACCTCAGGAGTGAGCAAGAGAGGGTGGACTACGGTCCTATATACAGTGAGTCTAGGACAGGGTGGCTACCTTTCTGCATACATTGGGACCAAGACAGGGTGGTTACGTTCCTACGTATAGTGGGACCAAGACAGGGTGGCTATGTTCCTGCATGCAGTGGGACCAAGACAGGGTGGCTACATTCCTACATACAGTGGGACCAAGACAGGGTGGCTACATTCCTACATACAGTGGGACCAAGACAGGGTGGCTATGTTCCCACACACTAAGACCAAGACAGGGTGGCTACGTTCCTACATATAGTGGGACCAAGACACGGTGGCTATGTTCCCACACACACTAGGAGCAAGACAGCGTGGCTGCATTCCTACATACAGTGGGATCAAGACAGGGTGGCTATGTTCCTACACAGAGGGACCAGGACAGGGTGGCTGCATTTCGACATACAGTGGGACCAGGACAGGGTGGCTACGGTCCTACATATAGTGGGACCAAGACAGGGTAGCGATGTTCTTACATACAGTGGGATCAAGACAGGGTGGCTGCATTCCTACATACAGTGGGATCAAGACAGGGTGGGCTATGTTCCTACACAGTGGGACCAGGACAGGGTGGCTGTATTCCAACATACAGTGGGACCAAGACAGGGTGGCTACGGTCCTACATATAGTGGGACCAAGACAGGGTAGCTATGTTCCTACATACAGTGGGAGCAAGTCAGGGTGGCTACATTCCTACATACAGGGGGACCAAAACAGGGTGGCTACATTCCTACATATAGTGGGACCAAGACAGAGTGGCTACGGTCCTACATATAGTGGGACCAAGACAGGGTGGCTATGTTCTAACATACAGTGGGACCAAGAGAGGGTGGCTATGTTCCTACATACAGTGGGACCAAGACAGGGTGGCTAAGTTCCTACACAGTGGGACCAGGACAGGGTGGCTACATTCCTACATACACTGCGACCAAGACAGAGTGGCTATGTTCCTACATGCAGTGGGACCAAGACAGGGTGGCTACATTCCTACCCAAAGTGGGACCAAGAGAGGGTGGCTATGTTCCTACATACAGTGGCATTGCTATATACAGTGGGACCAGGACACGATGCTTACATTCTAACACACAGTGGGACCATGGAGAACAAATGTAGCCACCCTCTAATAGAAAGGAATTTAAATAATTGGAGGAGGCTGAGGATACTTGAATAACTATAGCTTCCATCAATGAAATGAGCTCTATGACTGGAAGAGGCAGAGCTTTCATTCATCCACCTGTCCTCCATTCATAGATCACGTACAGTTTTTATGAAAGGAGGAGGGGGCAGAAATAACGGGCACAGTTGTCACCTATGACAGGTCCAGCACTTGTATTAACCCCCACAGCTCCAGAAGGGTTGCTGTGGGGCAATGGAAGGGTGAGGGCTTTGGATTTACAACTAGACAAGCGAGCAAATGGGACATTTTGCATGAAGTGTAAGTACTATCCCTTGTGCTGATTAATAATAATATGTAATAAATGTTTAATAAATATGTAATAATATTTAATAAAGGTAAATTAGTCCTGGAGTTACAAACAAGGGACACTGATAAATCTGAACTATCTATGTATCAACCACCTCTGGTCATTACAGGGTTGACCACGATACAATGGATCAAACTGTAATTTTATCCTGGAATGTTCTGGATTAAATTTTCTTAACAGATCCAGTATCAGGAGTAAAGATCGCCTTAGATAAAGCCTGCGAGGATTTCGTACTCGGAGACTCGTTGACATTGAAGTGTTCCGTAGACCAGGGCTCTTCTCCGACTTTTCTCTGGTTACACAATGGGAAGGTGGTCAAGAAGGATTCCGAGGACTATCAGCTCAGAGACGATGGGAAAATGTTATACATCGATTCCCTCCGCTATCACCATTCAGGGGCTTACCAATGCTCTGTCAGCAACAAAGTATCCAACAGAACCTTCTCTGGGATCAGCAACGTCCAGAACATAAATCTTCAACAGAGTCCGGTCAAGGAGAGCACTTACTCAGTGGATGATGGTGACCCACCAGAGCGTAAGTGTTTCCTTCCTACCACACCCAAACGTTTGATATACATAAAGGTGTGTGGTCCTGGCTCAGACTGATAAGTCCATGTGAACAGTAGCCTTGAGATGTGATGGTAAATCAATGACGTCCAAGAGTAGTGGCCATGTGGCAAGCAGACATTGACTTCTCTATCACATCCAACAACGCCACCATCAAACCCGTCCCGCAGGCCAGAGTACTTGGTGTCATTCTGGACTCCAACCTATCCTTCCAGCCCCAAGTCCAATCTTTAACAAACTCGTGCAGACTCCACCTCCGCAACATGCAGACTCCACCTCCGCAACATGCAGACTCCACCTCCGCAACATGCAGACTCCACCTCCGCAACATCGCCAAAATACGCACGTTCCTAACCCCAGAAACCACTAAACAGCTCATCCACTCCCTCATCATATCACGACTCGACTACTGCAACTCCCTCCTCACTGGCCTGCCTCGCCACTGGCTATCCCCGCTTCAGTCAATCCTGAATACGGCTGCCAGACTCATTCACCTTTCCAACCGCTCCGTCTCCGCCACCCCCCCTCTGCCAATCCCTCCACTGGCTTCCACTCAGTGTCCTCCACCCCCCTCTGCCAATCCCTCCACTCAGTGTCCTCCACCCCCCTCCAACCGCTCCATCTCCGCCACCCCCCTCTGCCAATCCCTCCACTGACCTCCACTCAGTGTCCTCCACCCCCCTCTGCCAATCCCTCCACTCAGTGTCCTCCACCCCCCTCTGCCAATCCCTCCACTGGCCTCCACTCAGTGTCCTCCACCCCCCTCTGCAAATCCCTCCACTCAGTGTCCTCCACCCCCCTCTGCCAATCCCTCCACTGGCCTCCACTCAGTGTCCTCCACCCCCCTCTGCCAATCCCTCCACTGTCCTCCACTCAGTGTCCTCCACCCCCCTCTGCCAATCCCTCCACTGGCCTCCATTCAGTGTCCTCCACCCCTCTCTGCCAATCCCTCCACTGGCTTCCGATTGCGCAACGGATCAAATTCAAAATCCTAACACTGACGTACAAAGCTGTCCACCACACTGCCCCGAACTACATCACCGACCTAATATCCAAGTACCGCCCAACACGCACACTCCACTCCTCACAAGACCTCCTTCTCTCTAGTTCCCTGGTCTCCTCCTCCCATGCCCGCCTCCAGGACTTCTCCAGGGTGTCACCCATCCTTGGAACTCCCTGCCCCAACCCATCAGATTATCACCTACTCTCCTCTCCTTTAGGCACATCCTGAAAACCCACCTCTTCAGGGAAGCCTACCCCACCCCCTGCTAACTTGCCGACCTCCTCCACTCTTCCTACCCCTCCATCCCCCACAGCTTTCTCCTCCTGTGCCACCATCCCCTCCCTCCTAGATTGTAAGCTCGAAAGAGCAGGGCCCTCGAACCCCTCATGTTTTGCATTGTATTGGTATTGTTCTGTCACATGTTCTGTCCCCCTTTGTAATGTACAGCGCTGAGCGAACTATTGGCGCTTTATAAATACTGTATAATAATAATAATAATACTTCATGGCAAGCCTTCGTGTAGAGAGAGGAAGCAATCTTCAGGTACTCTGGCTGGCTGGCTGGCTGGCTGGATGGTGAGGAGGACCCAAACGAGGGTTGGGATGGATGCAGTTTCGGAGCATGCGCACATCGACTTGCGTCTGGCGTGTTCCTTTCTCAAGCTAGTCAGACTTTGCTCAGATGTACACATTCAATGGATGATACAACAGACGCCTCCTAGTTGAAGAGCAATCGCTTGCGCTCCAACTGCATCCCAACTCTTGTTTGGGTCCCCCTCACCATCCAGCCAGCCAGAGTACCTGGAGATTGCTTCCTCCCTCTACAAGAAGGCATTGGACCCCCCCCTCCAAATTTTAACTTTTTTATTTGACATAATAAACAATTTAAAGATACATTTTCAGGACAATTAGATGTTTCTTGGCGTGGCAAACCCACCATATAGCTAAGGATGTACCCTGCTTGGGTTCTTGAAGGTCCTAGCCGAATCCAGAGCCATCATTTCCAGATTTTAGCTGTTAGTTGATCCCAGTAATGTAGTCCAACCAATAAAGCTGAAGTATAGCTAAAAAGAATCGTTTTCCTCTACAGCTTTAGTTCCATCACTTACCTGTAATGGCGTATGTCCCACAATGTGCAGACTGCTGGACAGGGGCGGACTGACAACTCCCATGGGGTCCCCGGGCAATAGGGGATCATGGGGCCCCTGTGTCCTTGCCCACACTCAAAGCACACCCAAAAGAGCCTATAAAAAAGGTACCAGGGGCATGTCATGGGGCCCCCTACTGACCCCGGGCCCTTCAGGCAGTGCCCAAGTGCTCGAATGGTCAGTCCGCCTCTGCTGCTGGATGCTGTAGAAATCTCTACTACTACAGGGATGCCCTGTCCTCTTCCTGCTGCTGAATGTCCAGCACTGTGGGGGTTAATAGCTTTGGGTCCTCCAGGGTCAGCTGCACTAAGATGATCGGATGGGGACACTCCCCCTCCTGATTGCTCCTCCATTGAGAGAAGTTCTTTCACTGATTATGGCGCCTGTAAATTGGAAAGAGAATCTTTTAAATGATTAGACTCTCCCCTAATCACAGATCGTGTTTCAAGCTGTGCAATCAGTAAAAGATGAGAGGGCAGGAGGGGGGGTGTCCCCAATAGATTATCTGTACTGCAGTTCTGCCTGCAGACACAAAGCTGTTAACCATTACAGTGCCAGAGGTTCAGAGACAAAAAGAGGACAGGGCATCCCTGCAGTGAAGATTTCTCCAGGATCCAGCTGCCTGCACAACATGGGACATCCTTCATTACAAGGGTGTCCCTGTAATATCATCTTTAGTGTAGCTGAGCCTGGAAAACTAAAGCAGTTAACCCGCACAGCGCTAGAAATTCAGCAGCAGGAAGAGGATGGGGCAGCCCCGCAGTGGGCATACTTCATTACAGGTAAGCAAAACTTTTTTAATAGCTTCAGGTCTTCAGGCAGAACAGCAGTACAGATGATCCGACTGGGGACACGCCCCCTCCTTCCTCCTCCATTGAGAAAAATGATTTAATTGATTACACCGCCTGTAACAAAATCTGTGAATGAAGGTCAAAATCCTATGACTGGTCAGACTGTTAACCAGAGCAACACTGGAAATTCATAAACAGGAAGAGGACAGGGCATCTCTGCAGTGAAGATTTCTCCAGGATCCAGCTGCCTGCACAACATGGGACATCCTTCATTACAAGGGTGTCCCTGTAATATCATTTACCTTTACTGTAGCTGAGCCTGGAAAGCTGAAGCTGCTAACCCACACAGTGCTGGAATTTCAGCAGCAGGAAGAGGATGGGGCAGCCCCACAGTGAAGTTTTCAACAGAATCCATAAGTCTGCTCATTGAGGGACTTACTTCATTACAGGTAAGCAAAGCTTTGGTTAATAGCTTCAGGTCTTCAGGCAGAACAGCAGTACAGATGATCCGACTGGGACACGTCCCCTCCTTCCTCCTCCATTGAGAAAAATGATTTAATTGATTACACTGCCTGTAACACAATCTGTGAACGAAGGTCAAAATCCTATGACTGGTCAGACTGTTAACCAGAGCAACGCTGGAAATTCAGAAACAGGAAGAGGACAGGGTATCCTTCAGTGAAGATTTCTCCAGGATCCACAACATGGGACATCCTTCATTACAAGGGTGTCCCTGTAATATCATCTTTAGTGTAGCTGAGCCTGGCAAGCTGAAGCTGTTACCTCGCACAGCGCTGGAAGTTCAGCAGCAGGAAGAGGATGGGGCAGCCCCGCAGTAAAGTTTTCAACAGAACCCATCAGTCTGCTCACTGAGGGACTTACTTCATTGCAGGTAAGTAAAGCTTTGTTTAATAGCTTCAGGTCTTCAGGCAGAACAGCAGTACAGATGATCCGTCTGGGACCCGCCCCCTACTTCCTCCTCCATTGAGAAAAAATGTTTAATTGATTACACTGCCTGTAACACAATCTGTGAACGAAGGTCAAAATCCTATGACTGGTCAGACTGTTAACCAGAGCAACACTGGAAATTCATAAACAGGAAGAGGACAGGGCATCTCTGCAGTGAAGGTATCTCCAGGATCCAGCTGCCTGCACAACATGGGACATCCTTCATTACAAGGGTGTCCCTGTAATATCATTTACCTTTACTGTAGCTAAGCCTGGAAATCTGAAGCTGTTAACCCACACAGTGCTGGAATTTCAGCAGCAGGAAGAGGATGGGGCAGCCCCGCAGTGAAGTTTTCACCAGAACCCATCAGTCTGCTCACTGAGGGACTTACTTCATTGCAGGTAAGTAAAGCTTTGTTTAATAGCTTCAGGTCTTCAGGCAGAACAGCAGTACAGATGATTCGACTGGGACACGCCCCCTCCTTCCTCCTCCATTGAGAAAAATTATTTAATTGATTACACCGCCTGCAACACAATCTGTGATCGAAGGACAAAATCCTATGACTGGTCAGACTGTTAACCAGAGCACCGATGGTAATTCAGAGACAGGAAGAGGACAGGGCATCCCTGCAGTGAAGATTTCTCCAGGATCCAGCTGCCTGCACAACATGGGACATCCTTCATTACAAGGGTTAACAGCTTCAGATCTTCAGGCAGAACAGCAATACAGATGATCCGACTGGGACACGCCCCCTCCTTCCTCCTCCATTTAGAAAAATTATTTCATTGATTACACCGCCTGTAACACAATCTGTGAACGAAGGAGAGAATCCTATGACTGGTCAACGCTGGAAATTCAGGAACAGGAAGAGGACAGGGCATCCTTCAGTGAAGATCTCTCCAGGGTCCACCTGCCTGCACATCCTGGGACCTTCTTCATTACAGGTAAGTGATGTAACTAAAGATTTAGGCCTTTTTTGTAATTAAACTTCAGCTTTAAGAGTTCAAGGAGGACCTTTATGTGTCCAAAGCAAACATACGCAGTATTGTCATGAAGTTGTACAGAAGGTTTTTTTTTTTGGTTTTTTTTGTACAGTACGAATTTTCTTGTTGGCTTTTCATCATGAATGTCTTCCCGCTGTATTTTATCCAAGATTATATTTCGAATTGTTTCATCCGACAGAGATGGGTATTCTGTGGTCCATTCTGGGAGTTCTGGTGTTGGTGGTTGTCCTCTCTGTTGTCCTGTTTGCCTACAGACACAAAGTTTCTTCTGTAGTTCCGTGGTTCCAACAACATACAGACCCAGGTACCTACCCCTTTGGGTTCTTTAGTTTTTTTATGCTTTCTACAACGTATAGAGAGGGTGGGGCAGACACAAACTGGGCAAGAACACAAATGTTCAGCTTCTCAGAGTGGTCATGGTGAGGCCTAGTGGGGGGGTTATTATTACAATTACTATTATTACTACATATTATTATTACTAAATATTATTATTACTATTATTACTATTATTATTATACTATTATTACTATTACTTTTATTATTACTAAATATTATTATTACTATTATTATTATTAAATATTATTATTATTACTATTATTATTATTACTATTATTATTAATTATTATTATATTTTACTAAATATTATTATTATTAC